CCCACCCCGGCCCACCTCACCTCCGTCATGATCATGTCCTGGCATTTCTTCACGTACTTGCCCTCGGCCTTGATGACCGTGTGCAGGAAGTCCAGGTACTGCACGTGGCGCCCGTGCGTGGCCAGCAGGTGCACGAAGTGCTGCAGCACGGGCTCGCCGACCTCGGAGCACAGCTGGTAGTTGTTCAGGAAGATGTGCTGCATGGTCTCCGCCTCCAGCAGCTGCGGGCAGGCGGGTGGCGTCAGAGCGGGGTTGTCTGGTGCCACCCGCCCAGGGCCCCGTCCCTGTCGCCCACCCCTGTGCCCTCACCCCCGGCGTGAGGAAGAGGTGCAGGTGCTTGTGCAGCAGGGCCTGGTTGCCCGGGTTCCCGGCACAGAACTTCTGCAGGAACTGGTGCGTGAGCCGCAGGATCTCCAGCATCTTGGCATCACCCTGGGTGCGGAATGGGACAGGCTGCTGGGCCACCCAGGACACAGGCCAGCCGGCCAAGCCACGCCGGGCAGGAAGAGAGGAGGAGTCGGGGCCAGGTGGGGGAGGCTGGGTCAGCCTGCGGCAGGGCAAGGGAGCTGGGTGTGGATGAGGGCGAGGGGTGAGGGTCAGAGATCAGGGTGATGCTGGGACTGGCTTCTGGGCCCAGGGGAGTCGGGGCACGGGCCGGCACAGAGCCCCAGGGTGAGGCCTGTCTAGACCAGCACTGGGACCGGGGACAGCACGGGCTGGGTCAGGGCTCGCGCGGAGCTGCCCAGGGGTCAGAGGTCAGAGGTCAGAGGTCAGGGGCACCTTGTCATAGGGGACCTGCAGCAGGTCCAGCATGACCTTGTGGGCATCCATGTTCTTCAGAAGGCGCTGCTGCTTCTTCCGCATCTGCTCCCCGACCCCACACATCTTGTTCAGCCGCTCCAGGATCTGGGGAGACAGTGAGCCAAGTCCCCGCCTCCCCACCTGACCCCAATCCCACCCACCCCAGCCGTGGGAGGAGGGGAGGTCAGGCTGCTCAGTCAGCCCATCACAGCCAGCCAGGGAAGCACTGAAAGCCCAATTCCGCCCACCCGTGAAGGTAAATAGAACAATGTGACTGCGAAAAGGAATTTCATTAAGTTCCCTCGGCTTCAAAATAATCCCACGTGGCCCTTGGCAGGCTGCTGTGACCACGCTAGAGGCGCAGGAAGACCGCGCAGGGGTGGGGAGGTGGGAGGCCCGGGCTGCCCCAGGTCCTCCGGCCACTCACGCCTCTGACGATCTGGTAGTTCTCGCTGCCCTTCTCCCCCGGGGCCTCCTCGGCCGTGGGCCGCTGGGGCAGAGAGGGGTGGGTCAGGGTCGGAGGGGTCGCAGGCCCGCCAGGAAGCAGCCGCCCGCCCCTGCCCCTGCCCCATGCCCAGCGCACCTCCTTCCTGTCCTTGGCGGCGCCTGCCTCGGCCGCCTCGCCCACCTCGCCCTTGCTGCTGCCCTTCTTCTCCACCCACAGCTCTGACTTCTCCACCATGGTCCGCAGCCGGTCCAGCTCCAACTTGATCACCTTGTAGTTCTCCACGTCCTGGGCCGAGATCAGCAGCTGCACCTGCAGGTGGGGTGGGCCTGGCTCGGCGACGAGCACCCTGCTTCACAGCGCCGCCCCGGCCGCCCCAGCGTCACCCTGCCTGCACCCACTCCTTGGTATTCACGGCCCTGATGGCCGAGGCCTCCTGCCCTGAGCTGCCTCGTGACGGCCACCACATCACTGGCTGAAAGGGACCTGGACTCCGAAGCTCGGCCAGTGTCTGACTCCGTCCATCTTCCCTACTCGAGCCAGAGGGCGAGGGAAGGAAGCTCCCCGTGCCTCAGTTTCCCCTCCCCTGGGATGGGAGGAGCACTGTGCTGTCCAGCGACTGAGAACCCAGCTAGAGGTGTGGGTGCAAATCTCAGTGCCTCCTCACGGAGCCCTGGTTAAAGGCCAGCCCCAGGCAGCACAGGCATCTCCCACAGAGCTGTGCAGAGGGCGGGACACTGCGGCGACACCGTGGTGACAAAGGCCAGGGCCTCCGCAGGGCAGTGTGTGCGGGGCAGCTCTCAGCTCTGAGCACAGGAAGCTTGCCGGCTGTGTGGGGCCGCCCAGGCGTGGGAAGCAGCAGCCACTGAGCCAGGCCAGGGGAGCCTTACGCGCAGGGACTGGAGCCAGACTGAGACCCCACACATGCACCCCAGGCCACGCCCGAGCCTGGGCAGCGCCCGCGGGACCGTCACCTGCTTGAAGGTGTGCATGGCCTCCTGGCGCTGGCTGAAGTGCTTGAAGAGCAGCTGCAGGGCACCCGAGACCAGCGGCGCGTAGTTGTGCATGGCGAGGTGGACGAGCACGCGCAGGAACATGCGGCCGCCCTCGTCGTCCACCTCCAGCATGCTGCTCGTCTTCCTGAGGGACGGGGCAGGCAGCAGCGCCCAGTGAGATGTTTGCTCAAAAATCGCCACTTCCCATCGGCCTGCGAGCAGAGCCTCGGGACCTGAAGCGGGACACTTTGGGACAAGAGGGGATCCAGGGGCCCCTACTCTCAGGGCTCAGCTCAGGAACAGGTGGGAAACTCTAGCCCTGCTCTTTGCCAGTCTCTGACCCAGGTGCAGCGTTTCCTGCACCGAGCGTGGCTGTACATGGGAGTCGTCCCCAGAGCCCATCACACACGCTTCCCCGCACCTCGGCGTCGCTAATGGAAACGAAATTCCCCTACACTCCCCTCCCTGACGCCCCTAATGACGCCAGGGCTGCAGCCTGACAGCTAAGGTGCTAACACAGGCACACGCATGACTGTTGCTTCCCCTTTGTTTTCTTCAGCACGGTGATAACCGTGGCTCGACGCCTCTGGGCCCTCTGTGATCTCCAGAGCTTTCCTGTACCACTTTCAAGTCCCCTCCTGAGAAGGGGTCCGGGCCACACTGCACGTCCACAAAGGCAGGGCACAGAACCAGCCTGTGAGGGCAGGGTGTAGGGTGCACAACGCCACAGCTCCTCCTGGCTGCGGGACAGGGGACGTGTGTCCAGTGGCTCCCCCCAAGCGTGGCTGCACAGGCAGGGAATGACCAGGATGCCTGCAGCCCAGGGGTCCCGGTCACCGGGGTTGGGCAGGAGAGGGAGGGGTCCCAGGGGCACCACCCAGGTCGGCACCCCGCCCAGCCCCACCGCACCCTGCCTCACCCCACTCCGAACATTGCTTCGGCCTGCTCCCCAATGCGGTCCAGGTTCAGGTTGGCAGCTGGGGGCGGCGAGAGGGACACATGGGGCACAGGGTAGGTCCACACCCGGAAAGACAGGGAGCACAGACACCCCCGGAGCACCCCTCACCTGCCCCTCAGCCGGCCACTTCCAGGGCAGACACAGCTCGGATCTCACCCCCACCCCCTGCAGTTAGGGGACCTGGGCCCCGGTCTGGCTCAGCCTCTGCTTGGCTGTGGCTTGGGACAAATCCTTGCTCCCCTGTGGCTCAGTTTCCCCGTTTAGAGATGGAGAGGACTCCTGCCCTTCCCCGTCATGGTGACAATCAAATGGGGCCGTGGAGAGGAAAGGCATTTGCGGACTGGAAAACAGTGGGACAGGGCGCTGGGCAGGGCACTGGCCGGGGTCCCTGCCGCAGGGGAGGCGAGCGAGGCTCACTGGCGGAGTCAAAGGCAGGCGCTGTGCCGTCGGCCCCGCTGTCCTGCATGGGAAACACCTCCACGAACTCCTTCTTAAAGACCGACAGCAGGTAGGAGATGCGGTAGTCCAGCCGCACGTTAAGGATGAACTGCGGTCAGGGAGGTGGGGGAGGATGGCGTGAGAACCGGTCTGTGCCCAGGAGCCCCTTGCTGCTCCTTGAGGGGTGCCGGGGACCCCGAGGGGCCTCTAGCACCCTGAGCTTCAAGGACCCTCTGGGATGTCATGGCAAACAACCCAAGACCCTCTCCACAGGGACGCCCAGGGCCCCCAGCGGGGCCACCCCCCACCGGATCACTCAGCCTGTCTCCCCAGCCCGAGGACACTGCCAGAAAGGGAACGAAGCTCCGCAGGCCCACAAGCCTACTCTTCGTCCTATGCCACAGACCCTGGGGCTCTCCGGGAGGGGAAACTGAGGCATAAGGACTCAGGGTGTGCCCTTGACTGGCCTCTGTCCTCAAGGGACATGGTCTGGCCATACCTCAGGATACAGACACGAACACATGGGGAGTCGGACACCCTTCCCTGACCCCCAACCAGGACCTGGGCTGGCTGGGTCCCCGTGGAGGGCACCGGCCCATCCTGTGGTGACCACAGGGCCTCATCCCTCCTCGGGACCCCACATGCCCCTTGTCCAGGTGTTGCTGGAGTCTTGGATGAGACCCAGAGCAGGTGAAGAAATCTCAAGTCTCTAGCCCTGGGCAGAGGCCCTGTGACCCTGGGGACACCCCCACCCCACCCGCCTTCCCCAGGGGACACTCCTGCCGCCAGTCCAAGGACATGCTGAGGATGCTGGGCTAGGTGGCCGATCCCCACGGGGCTCCCGGTCTGGACACAGCCCTGGAATGGTGCTCTGCTGTCACCTGCAGGATATCCAGGACCTTAAGCTTGGTCTCCATCACTACGATGTGCTCTTTGTCCTCGAACTTGCTCCTGTCCAGTGGCTCGGGCACACCAGGACCAGCGACCGATGGCTTGCGGCTCAGCACCATGGTGGTCATCATGTGGCCCACGCCCTGGATGGACCGCCGCACGTTCTTGCCTGCAGGTAATGAGGGCACAGCAGGGTTATGGGGGCGTGGCAGGGTCCTTGGTGGAGTGAGCACACTGTCCCCAATGCTGCAGGGCACCAGCTCCCCAAGCAGGGACAGGACCAACCCAGGAGGCTTCCTGGGGGAGGCAACAGGGCACACGTCCCCCAACCAAGCAATGATGGACAGCAACTTGACAGACCCCGGGCTGGACACAGCGCTTGAGCCAGGGACCCCCTCGTCAGAGCCCACAGATCCCCCTTGACACTGCTAGGAGGAGGAGGCTGCAGGACCGAGGGCAGCGGGCGGCCCCCCAAGACAGACCCTCACCGCCCGGGTCCTCGTAGCCCTGCAGCATGGCCGAGGGGCCCTGCACACAGTCGATAATGGCCAGCAGCGTGCGTGTGAGGCGCAGTAGCTCGCTGAAGCTGTAGAAGCCGAAATAGATGAGGTTGTGTGCCAGGCTGACCACCTGTAGAGAGGGGCGTGGTTGGCTGAGTGGGCGGGTCTGTGGGCAGCGCTTCATGGTGGGCGGGGCCGCGACAAGGTGCTGCCCTCTCCCAGGCAGAGGCCCACAGCACTCCCAGACCCTGTAATCCACCATCGGGAGGTGGGGCAAAGGGACGGCAAGTTCAGGCCCACTCTGGGGAACTTATTGAGACTCTCAGAGGGAGAAGTCCAAGAAGGGCTGGGGATGCAGCTCAGGGCAAAGGCTCTGAGGTTCGATCTCCCGTGCCACAACAATCAAGAAAGAAAACAAGGCTACAGCTGGGGGCATGCTGGCTGGGGGCCCGGAGGAAAGTGGGAGCCGGAGCCTGGCGACCCCCCACCTCATAGGTGAGCATGTTCTTCTCCTCGTTGGCGAAGGGCACAGCCTCGCTGACCACGTTGTTGAGGTAGTCCTCCACGAACTCCATGGTGCTGGCGAACTTGTTCTTCTTGTCGTCTCGGGAGGCGTTGAGGTTGGAGTCATAGCTGGGGCAAGGAGGAGGAGGCCTGGGGGTGCTGCCGGCCACCCCGCCTTGCAAGTCCCTCCCATCCCCCGGCCGCCCACTCACTCCTTGATGGTGATGGCCGTGGGGACCTCGGTCCAGAGGCGGGCGAACTTGACAGGCGTGACCAGCTCCTGGGGGTCGCGGTCCACGTGCACGTGCAGCATCAGGTGGCAGAAGGAGGCGCGCAGGTCGAAGGGCAGCATCTCATCCGCCATGCACAGGAAGATGAGGTCCACGCCCAACTGCTGGGAGATCTCGTCAATGGCCAGGTACTGGCGGTCCAGGCACATGCGGGCGAAGAGCTTCAACTGGTACCTGCGGGGTGGGGAGGTGAGGAGCCAGCAGCCAAAGCTGCAGGGGCAGCCAGCACTTGGGCCTGGGCTTGGTGAGGGCCCAGGGTCACTAAGCAGCCAAGGGTCTGGGAGACTGAAGCAGGAGCATTGCAAGTTCAAGCCCACCCTGGGCAACCTGGCAACCTGGCAAGGCCCTGTCTCAAAGTTAAAAAAAATTTTTTGGTACCAGGGCTCAAACTCCAGACCTTGCACTTCCGAGGCTGGCAGCAGAACCACTGAGGGAAATCCCCGACCCAGTAAAAAACTTTTTAAGAGTGGAGATGTGGCTCAGTGAAGGCCCTGGATTCAATCCCCAGTATTGCAAGAAAAAAGCAGCAGAGACTTGGCTGAGACTGCGCACTGGCCGCTGCAGCAGGAAGCAGCGATGCAGAGGTGGGAGGGCGCCACACGGTGCGGATGAGTAGGTTCCACTGTGCCCTTCTGGCTCAAAACTCAGCCCGGCCAGGACAGGTCCGTGCGGAAAGGGGTGGCCCGGGAGTGGGTGTGCGGCCTGCACGGGGAGATGGGATGGGGACCGGGAGACAGCTCTGCCCGGGCAACGTCACACTCTGACCTCCTCGGGACCCTGTCACTCAGTGGGCTCTGCTGCCCGACAGCCTGGGTGGGAACGCAGCTCACCTCAGGCTCCCTGACCGCGCTGCTTCTGTTTCCCCGGCTTACGAGGAGGGGGACAGCAGGAGGCGTGAATGAGGGGTCAGGTGGGAGCAGAGCAGAGCCTGCTATGTGGTGGGCGGTTAGAGGGGCCACCAGATATCCGGTATCAAATCAGGTTTCTCTGGGTGCGTACGCGTGTGCGGTACTGGGCCTGGACCCAGAGCCTTTACACTGAGCTGCATCTCCCAACTCTCTCCTCTTTCTAATTTTGAGACAGGGTCTCACTAAGTTGCTAAGCTGCCCAGCCTGGGCTTGAACTTGCAATCCTCCCAGAGGCTGAGGTCCAAAGCCTGAGGTCCGGTTTCTCTGAAGCCAGGCCGGTGCTAAGCCTGGCCTCGGGGCGCCTGGCCGACCCCACCTCACTGTGACCCTCCCTCCCCAGCACCTGTAGTAGCTCAGCACGTTCTCGTCGTGGGCATTGCCTGCCCGAGCCTCCTGGGCCAGCTGCCGCACGCTCTTCTCATGATGCTCGTTGTTCTTGTCGGTCCACGTGAGCCACACCTCCTCCTCTGAGTACTCGATGCTCAGGTACTCGTGGGACTGGGCCATCTCCTTCACCGGCCGCAGCCTGTGGATGAAGGCGCCATGGGGTGCTCTGCTCACCGGTGGGACACCTGGTTCTGGGCCCTGCCTGCCCCCCAGGGCCTGCCCGGCACCCCGAGCCCTCACTCGGTCTGGATGAGGATGTCGCTGTTCTTGGGGTCCAGTACACACTTGCAGATGAGCTCCTGGGTGACGGGGATGGCGATGTGGTTGGACACACACAGGTCCGAGAGGTAGTCCAGGAACCTGGGGGGGCGGCAGCGGGCGGAGCGGCTCAGAGCCAGGCAGAGCAGCCGACTGCTTCTGCTCCTGCTCCCTCCCCAGGCGCGCTGGGCTCCCAGGAGGCCTGGGTGGAGAAGCACAAACACCAAACACATCCTGGCTCAGTGTTGCGGTGACCATCGCCAGGGAAGGATGTGGGGCTCCTGCTAGATTGGGCCAGATCCAGGAAGGTCCCCGAGAGGGGCTGACTGACCCCCATTGCAGGAGGTGGAGAGAGTGGTCTCAGGCAGGGCGGGCGGCACCTGGGCTCCCGGTTCTTGCGCACGAGGCTCACGAAGGTCTCCACCTCGGTCTTGGTGATGTGCTTCTCCAGCAGCTTGCGGTTGTTGTGCAGCAAGGCAGTGATGGTGTCCTCGGCCAGGATGTCGTAGCCAATCTGCGACTGCATCATCCCGAACTGCTTGGCAATGTGCTCCTGGGGGGCAGATGGCTGGGGTCACAGGGGCCACGGGCAAGACACAGGGTCCAGCCGGGCGTGGTGGCACGCGCCTGTATCCCGAACTCGGGAGGCCGAGGCAGGAGGATCGCTGTGAGTTCGAGGCCAGCCTGGGCTCCACAGTGAGAGCCTGTCTCGACAAAAGCAGACTCAGCGCACCAGCTCTGCTCAGGAACACTGCCCCACCCCCGAGATGGGGACCCAGCACAGGCAGGGGACCCACACCCTGGAAAGGTGCAGGTGTGGGACAGGGAGGGGCCCAGGAGGACAGCAGCTTTTGGTGATCTAGCTCCTGGTCGGCCGCCTCCCAGAGTGGAGTCTCAGGCCCGAGGACGCTGTCTGCCTGGCAGAGCCAACTGCATGATGCGTGGGCCCAGCGCAAATAAAGCAGTAGAAATTCCGTTGAAAAATGAAGAACTTTAAAGCCAGGGGTGGTGACTTAGTGAGACTCTGTCTCAAAATAAAAACTAAGAAAGGGCTCCATGCAGATTCAATCCCCAGGACAGCAAACAAGTAAATAAAAAAGGAGAATCTCAAGACGGCCCCAGCAGAGCATCAAGCCCAGGGTGGGGCACTGGTGAGCCCCTGCCGGGCGGCACACGTGAAGCCAGCCCCGCTGCCGGGCGCCCTAGGGCCCCAGCACCCACTCAGTGCATGCCTGGGGGGCCGTGTGAAGGCGGGCCCCACCTGGTTCTTGCGGTAGTCGTCCTGCGAGTGCCTCAACACACGGTAGCAGAGGCGGAACATGTGCTGGTAGGGGGCGTTCTTCTGGTCCGACAGCTCCTCCAGCCGCACGAGGGGGCCCTCGCCGCCCTTGTCTCGGAAAGGGGCCTTCAGGATGCCGAAGATCTGGGGACAAAATGAGGGGTCTCCTGTAGCTGCCCGCAGGCCCTCATCACCCCGGGGACCCTGAGCCCCGGCCAACCCCCCTAAGCCACCGGACTCGAAGCCTGAGCCCATTCTCAGCAGGGCCCTCACCCTTGGGTTCACCTGCACCCCCAGCTCCTGGCCAGGACCCCACCCTCCTCACCAAGGAGAAAGTGGGTACAGTACAGAAATGTCACAAGTTCAGGTTGATCAGAATGAAAATCTGCTCTTGAACAGAAATGAAAGACAGAGCAGCCAAAGAGGATGAAAAAGCCTTAGTTGGAAGCTGGTTAAATCGATATCAGCATCAAAAAGACACTCGGAGAACAGGAGACGCTGGACACGGTGGGTGTTACTGCTCATTCGCTCAGGTGTGATAAAGGTCGGTAGGATGGAAGCCCAGCGAAATGTCACAGTGTGGAGCAGCCCCTTCTGCAATGCGTGGATGAGAGGGGATGCAAAACACAGGGCGACATAAAGGCAGGACTGAAAACTGTAACAAGTGAGCTCAGGTGGTAAATACACCACGGTCACTGATCCATTCTTTTAATACTTCTCAGTATTTCAAAATTCTCATAATAAGGAATTTAGAAAGGAAAAAAATTTTTTAAGTAGAAGCCAGTCGTACTATACGCCTGTAATCCTAGCACTCTGGGAGGCTGAGGCAGGAGGGTGGCAAGTTCAAACCCAGGCTGGACAACTTAGTGACTTAGTGAGATCTTGTCTCAAAAAAAAGGCTGGGGATACAGCTCAGTGGGAAGGCCCTGGGTTCAATCCCTAGTACACACAAAAAAAGGAAAAAATACATAACGCATAATTTTTTTAAGCACAAGTTTTGGACCCAACATCTTGAGTTCAAATCCGGGCCCCGCAGCTTCCCAGCTGTGTGCTCAGGGCACCTCCAGCCTCCGTGGCCCACAGATGCTCTTCTTTCTTCCTCTTTCTGCAGTTCAGGGTCGAGCCCAGGCCTCACACCCCAGGCCACGGCTCACCCTGAGCTGCGGTCTGGCCTGAGTCCCTCGCTTCACCAGGGGGCGGTAAGAATGCACAGGGGGGCGGGAGAGCCTCGCGGGCCCAGTGGGCGTCCAGCCCCCACCACCCGGCACCTGCTTGAGGATGTTCTGTTCCCTCATCAGCTTCTGCCTCTCGCGGTTGGGCTTGGCAACCATGATATCCAGGACGTTCTGCCCATTGTTGGGGACGTCACTAACAAAGAACACCAGGTCCTCCAGCAGCTGGATGACGAACCTGGGCATAGGGACAGACAGCATGGTGTCAGAAAGTCACTCACCACCCTACTGCCAAGCACAGAGCCCACCACAGACCCTCAGCTCCTGACCCCAGCACTACCCCAAACCGCTCTCTCTGCACAGCCACACTCCCCTCCACCCTGGACTCGAGTCCCCGAGGTGGGGAGCCTGGTGCAAATGGCTCTGCATTGCAACCTGACTGCCACTTCCCAGCTGTGTGGCTCTGGGGAGGTCTCTTGACCCCTCTGAGCCTCCGTCCCAGCAATGGCTCCATCAGCGTTCTGGGAGGACATGGGCAGCGAGCAGGATCCCAACTCTGGGAGGAGGCCAGGCCCCACCTCTGTCTCGCCTGCTCCAGCCCCGCTGCCTGGCTTCTTCTCCGTGACCCCGGGAGGGCAAGATCCGTGGAAATCCTCCTCAGCCCTGCGCCCACCTGCGGTCGTTCTGGCTGATGAAGCCCTCGTTGAGTTTCTCCACGGCGCTGGCCAGCATGGAGCTGGCGTCATTGGCAAAGTCCAGGTCGCGGATCTCGGACACGGGCACGGACACGATGGCAAAGGCCTCCTTGTCCTCCTTGGTGGGGCAGGTGCCCAGCTGCAAGGACAGCAGTCAGCAGGGCAGCCAGGAAGCCAGCCCCGCCCACCCTCCGGGCTCCGCCCCACCCGCCCACCCTCCGGGCTCCGCCCCACCCGCCCTCCCGGCTCCGCCCCGCCCTGCTGGCAGGCAGCCTCACCATGAGGCGGATGGGCCGCTCCTCGTCTGCGTCTATGGGCACGTTGGTGCTCTGGATCCACGTGTTGGTGCACAGGTGCCGCAGCCGCACATAGGAGTTCCTGTAGGCGGGTGGGTGCTCAGACTCCCCACACCAACTGACAGCCCTGGGGCAGGGCCACCAGCACTGCCTGGGAAGCCTGCAGCCAGGCCCAGAGGAGCAAGTCGGAGCCTGTCCCTGAACCCAGGGCCAGAATTCACACACAGAGCAAGGCTGCTGAGGCTTTATCTCATTTAAAGTAGAGACACATGCGGGTCACAGAAATCGTCTCTGATTACAAAACCCAAGTTCATCTTTTTTTTTTTTTTGCCATACTGGGGGTTAAACCCAGGCCTTCGCATTAAGCTACATCTCTAGCCCTTTTTATTATTATTATTTTTAATCTTGAGGGAAAAATCTCACTAAGTTGCTAAATTGCCCAGACTGGGCTTGAAGTTTCGATCATCCTGCCTCAGCCTCCCCAAAGTGCTGGGATTGCAGGCCTACACCACCATGCTCAACTACAGGATCGTCTTTCTGAGATGAAAGACCACCTGAATCTCAAAATGCATCTGGCCCCAAGGCTTTCAGGTGAGGGGCTATGGGTCTGCTTAGTCAGTTAACGATCCCTGCGGCCCTGTGGGTGGGTGGACCGGATATCCCCACTTCACGGATGAGAAGACAGAGGCAGGGTGACTGAGCCGCTCCCCGAGGTCATGCAGCTGGACTGGATGGACACACGCAGGCTCTTCAGGTCGAGGAGCCCAGGCTCCCAGGCCACGTTCGGGCTCCCCAGGCTGCTGGGCCCTGCACAAACCGTCAGACAGCCTGTGCCTGGTCACCCAGTGTGGCAAGGCAGGCACCTACCTGGGGGGCACTCTACCACTGGGCCACATCGCCAGAATGTTGCTTTTTTATTTTTCGATAGGGGCTAAGTTGCCCAGGCTGGGCTTGAACCTGCCATGACAGGAGGCTTTTTTAAAAGGTAATGATGAGCACAGGATAGCATGGAGCCGTGCAGAAGCCAGGCCCAGCCACAGGCAGGCAGGCAGGTGGTGCAGCCAGCTGCCCGCAGATCTGAGCTGACCCCAGAGCCAGAGGACCTCAGGGCAGAGGAAAGGAGCACCTGAAGGGTCCCAGACCCCGGCTCCTGGCGCACACCCACCTTGGCACGAGGGAGTCAGTCTTCTGCAGGGTGGTGGGGTCCAGCTCAAACAGAGAGGCGATGTCACTGCCGTGGGGCACGGCCACCAGGCGGTACTTGATCTTCTCCCCGGCGTTCCTGCGACCCGCTCGGCCCTGGGCCCCCGGTGTGAGGACCCCAGATCAGGCAGCAGCCCCTCCTGTCCCAGGCCTTCCCCCTCCAGCTCACCCCCAGGACCTGCCGCCCCACCCCGGCGCCCCCCAGGAGGCCTGTGGTCCTCACCGCTCCTGCTGCCTTGGGGTCTGGGGCGTCACCTTTGTAGCTGGGGTTTTCCTGCATGCACACAAGGGGGCCACTGGACACCAAGGTCACCCTAGGAGGGCCCTGGGGCTCTGCCCTCCCCGGGCACCCACCCTTGCTCCCAAGCCCACCCATGGAGAGCCACAAATGGGGGCCATTTATGGCCCTCTCCTGGAACCCCCACATGGGCTCAAACTTGCATTCCTCCTGCCTCAGCCTCCCCAAGTGCCAAATATGGGTGGCATGTATCACCATGCCCAGCTAGACTGGCACTTCTGCCTAGAAGTGCCGCCAGCCCAGGGCAGGTGCACACTGGGCTCACAGTTGCACATTTCTGTTCTGATAGCTGCTAAATATGCACAGAACTGCAGCCATGCCAGGGCCCAGGCTCAGGTGCCCACATGTGCCCTGTGAAGGGCTGTGCACACGGCCCCTGCATGACCTCCTGGCACATGGCTGACCTCCCAGGATTCCCTCTGCCTCTCGCTCACCTCTGCAGCCAGGTAGTTGCCCGTGGCCAGGTGTTTGAAGCGGTACAGGCCGTTCCAGTGGCCAGCACCTCCACGGCAGGGGTCATGGTGGACCACCTGGGGAACAGGGTGGGCAAGATGGTGGGGAGCTGGGTGCTGGGTGCCAACCCTCCCAGGTCCTGGCGGGCCCCCGGGGTGCGGGGCGGCCTCTGACCTCCACCTCCCAGAGGGCGTTGGAGCTGGTGGCCGAGGTGGCCGACTGGCGCAGCGTGGTGCGCAGGAACACCTGCAGCTTGCCCTTGTACTCATCACACGTCAGGAACTTCTCCTGCTCCGCGTGGAACAGCCGCACCACGTCGCCCTGTGGCAAGGGCAGGCGTGGGACAAACTCGAGGCTCCCCGGGGCCCGGGCCTCCCCCAGGCACAGGTGGCCAGCAGGGCCTCTGGGTTTTTGGTTGTTGTTTGAGACCGGGTCTCACTACGTAGCCCAGGCTGGCCTGGAACTCGTGGCAATCCTCCCGCCTCAGCCTGACTGCTGGGATTACAGACAGGCACCACCACACCCGGCTAGCAGGGCCCCGCCTGCTTCTCCCAGGGCAGGCACACAGGGAGATCCCAGCTGGGCCCCAGCCAGAGCCTGGCAGTGCAGCCAGGCACTGCCTCAGCCCTCGTCCTAGACCTGAACCCAGAGCCTTCCTGGCCCCCACGTGTTCAAACCTACCCCTCCCTACCGTACCTGCAGGACCCTGCGTCGCTTCTGAGGGTCGCGCCCAGGCAGGAGCGCACCTCCTCACTGTCCCCAGGCCACACTGCCCCTCCCCAGGCCCTTTCATGCTATTTCTTTGGCTCCCTGGAGCCACAGAGCGCTGGCCAGTCCATGGCCTCAGCAATCACCGAGGCCGAGTCTGGGGCCGGCTCTGTTTTCCCATGCTGGGTGGACCTCGGGTGAGTCCCTAACACCCCTGAGCTCCGCTGCCCCTCTGTAGGGGCTGCCCCAGGTCCTGGCGGAAGCCTCGAGGAAGCACCTGCCTTCCCACATGCCGGCACCTCACCCCCTCGACCACCAACACTGGGTCCCCGCCAGTGCTCGACCACCTGGTCTCATGGGCAGGAAACCCGGCACAGAGAAGGGAGGGACCACACGGCTGGTGGCGGGGGACGTGACCCCCTGCCTGGGTTTGGGCCGATGCCCTGACCTCCCTGCCACGCTTCCCCCAGGATGCAGGCCTGCCGCTCCCAGGTGCCCTCCAGCGACACTGTCTGCCTCCCCCGCCCGAACATGGCCCCAGACACCCGCATCCGGGAGCTCCCGTGGAGTGGACACATGGATGCCCACACAGACTGGGTGCCCAGGGTGTCTGCTGGGGCAGTGGGGGCAGCCACTCGGGGTGGCACAGGGGGGGCTCCCAGGAGGGGGTGAGCTGGCCTCTGACAGGTGTAGACACTGCGCAGCCTCAGGGCTCTGGGGAAGCTGGTGCTCAAAGGATCTGGGCCACCCTGAGGCGGAGGATGGGGACCCCGTCCACTGACAGTGCCAGCGAGAGGGGAAACCGAGGCCAGCCAGGGAAGAGAGGGCATGGAGAGGGGGCTGTGGCCAGAGAGCAGGACAGCGCCATCAGCTGGGGCACAAGGCTGCCCTTCAGGGGGCAGAGGGAGCCCTGAGGGCGCCGAGCCAAGGCACAGGGAAGGGGCGGCCGTGCGGAGGAGGCGGGAGGGGGCGAGACTGTGGGAGGGCTGGCCAGTGGGGAGGGTCCTCTCCTCCTTACCCCCTTCAACACCTCCTCCAGGTGGTCGCGGAACTGCATGAACAGGTTGATCTTCCAGCTGGTGTTGCAGTTCACAGAGTTGACCTGCAGGGGGCAGCGTGCATAAGGCTGGGCATGGGCCCCCGGGTGCAGGCCCGTAGGTGGGGGTGGGGAGCACCGGGGGCCGCCATGGGGGGCTGGGGGGCGCACGGCCCCTGCCCCTCACCTCCTTGCAGCCTGCGTTGTCACTGAGCTCATAGTTGCTGGCGTGCAGAGGCTGCCCTGCATTGACAGGGTTCAGGATCACCTTGTCCCCCACGACCACCTTTGGGGACAGGAGAGCAGGGTGAGGGTGGGAAGACAAGGTGCGACCTGTCCCCTCCAGGGCCCTCTGGTGTCCGTCTGCCCTCCTCTTTTTGTATCTGCAGTACTGGGAATCGAACCGAGGGCCTCGCAGGTCCCAGGCAAGTGCCTTCCACTGAGCTACATCCACAGGCTTTCTTAGTTTATTTTGAGACAGGGTCTCCCCACATTGCCCGGGCTATGCCCAGTGCAGTCCTCCCGCCTCAGCCTCCCGTGTGGCCAGGATTTCAGGCATGGGCCACCGTGCCCGGGCTGTCTGCCCTTCTAGGACCCGACCTCATCCAGGCCCTGGAAGCCCTCGGGGTGTGACATGCGCCTCCCTCCGCCCTGCCCGCCCGGCCCGGCCCGGCCCGGCCCGCGCACGTTGTCCCCGTTGCTCCGCAGCTTCCAGAAGGGCTGGATGAAGAGCCAGGAGCCCTCGTTGCCCGTGGCATCCAGCGTCACCCGCATGGCGTTTTTCTCCAGCAGCGCAGGGAGTCGCTTGTTCACCGTCAGGTACTTGTTGCTCTTCATGTGCAGGAGCTGGGGGGCAGGTGGAGGTCACCAGGGCCAGCTCGGGGAGGGACACCGAGGGCCCGGGACGCTCCCGTAGTCAGACACGCTGCGTCCACGCAGGGAGCCCCACCAGCTCGAGCCATGCTGTTATTACAGACGGGAAAACTGAGCCACAAGAGGGTAACTTGCCCGAGGTCACACCACCAAGGTCAGGCAGAGCCGATATTTGGAAGCCAAGCACAAAGCACTCCCGCTGGCGCAGCTGCTCGGGCCACACACTGCGCAAGAGGCACAGTCCGGGCCGGCGGGCCACCCACTGGGGACACGCACTCGCGCATGCGCACACAGGCCCTGACCCGCCTGGCCTGGCAGGGCACCGCACCTGGATCACGCCACCGTACTTCACCACGTCCCCGTGAGCCTTCTTGTTCTCCGTGTCGTTCTGCTTCCGCTCCATCTGCGCTGCGTGCTGGACAAACGGGGGGGGGGGGTCGGAAGCGGCTCCCGCGGGGCCGCACGTGCCAGGCCGCAGCCCCGGGGAGACACCCGGCCCCCCATGAGGGGCGTCTTCTGAAGCCCTTCTAGACCCACGGAAGGACCGTGGACAGGGCCCTGTCCGAGGGCCTCAGGCTCCAGCGCTATAAACTAAGGGGCGGGGCAACCCACTGTCTGGTCCCCCTCCAGTCTCTCTTAGACAGAAGCTATCTTTCCCTCAATAAATTCTTCCTATTCTAAAAACAAAACGAAACAACTAAGGGCTAAGAGTAGACCCACGGTTCTCAAAATGGGTTCCCAGGAGCCACTGCTAGTCCATGTGCAGCTGTCCACGCTGTTCACGGTCCTGTGGTGCCAGGTCCCACTAGGCGACTGTGTGCCATGGCATGGGGCTGGGCGGCCCCAAGGAAAGGGCACTCTCTAGTTAGCACCAAAGAGTCTATGTTCATGCCTGGGTAAGAGGAGGGCGCTTTTCTCTCCACCTCCCCTCACTCACAACAGTCTGTAGCACTGGGGTTTTGTTGCTGTTTTGTTTTTGTTCTGTTTTGTTTTGCTGAGACAGGGTCTGGCTGAGAGACAGGGTCTCTGAGGCTGGCCTCGATCTCACAGCAGTCCTCCTCCCTCGGCCTCCCAGTGTTGGGATTCTGGGGGTGCACCACCACGCTGGCCTCACTGGGGCTCTGAAGCCGCTCGGCTCAGCCACGGGGCCCACTGGCATGCGCCCACACACCTGCAGTTTCTGCAGCAGCACCACATCTGCAATCTTCTCTTTGTCCTGCTTGCTCTGCTTGGCCTTCCAGTACTGCTTCTGGGCGGAGTAGCGGTTCATGGGGCACACCTTGAAGAGGCAGTCTGCGGGGTGGTGGGGGTCAGCAGGGGCTCGGGACCCCGGAGAGCCCAGCCCAAGGCTCCTGCCCCACCGCAAGGGCCGAGAGAGCAAGTGAGCCTCCTGGGTCATGCTGGACGACAGCAGTCCCCACTGTGGTGTGAGAGCCCTGGGCCTGGCCTCGGAGGTGGCCCCTGCCCCTGGGGATACCGAGGGGATCCCGGCTCCTGGGGCCACACCCCATGCCCTGTCCCTGCCCAGCCTCCATAGGGGCTGGCAGCAGATGCCAGGGACTGCACCCCCTCCTCCTGGGCAGCTCCCATCCCCTGGAGGGGACACTCCGAGGACAGGCCACCCTCCCAGCCCCACAGGGTCAGCTGCAGCTTCCGCTCCCAGAAACCACACCCTGCCTCGGCGCCTGCCTCTGCCCCACATGAGTGAGCGGCCCCTGGCTCTGCTCCCCAAGACTCTCCCGAGGGAATTCACCCCTCTCAGCTCCTGAACAGACAGCACCATCAAAATTCCAGAAACTTGTTCACTTTTAAATCCTTATTTCAGCAAGGAGACAAGACTCTGTCACTTCCTTAAGCCCCAACTCCAGAAAGGCGGCCCAGTCTTAAGTATCGGAAGGAGGCGTGTGTTGCAAACTCCTGCTCCAAGGTGTGCAGGAGGTGGGGGCCCGGGCGCTGGCAAAGCTGCCCTGGCTGCACTGTGAGTGGTGAGCTCCCCGTCACAGGAGGAGTCACAGCCCAGGCAAGGAGAAGGCGCTGCCCTCCTGTGGTCAAAGCTGGCTTCCGGCTCCCGGGAGCCAAAGCAGAACTTGGTTTCCCACCCAGTGCCCACGAGAGGTGAAACCAGAGCAGCTGAAGGTCAGCAGTCAGATGCCCCGCAGGCAGGGAATCGGCCACTGCACCAGGGCCGCCCACGAGGCCCAGGGGTGCCCCTTCCTGGCACGTGCTGGGGGGAATTTGTCTTCCATTCCTGCTGAGCCCTCGAGGCCCAGCTGGGGTCCTCCTGTCACCCGTAACCTTCACTGCCCTCTCAGAATCTGTGGTCACCAACAGAGCAGCAGGCAACAGACCATGCCAGGAGGGCTTTGGGAACAGGACAGAGGGGACATTTTAGCTGTCATCACAGCTGGCACTCACTGGGCAGGAGAGGGAGGCTGGCCCCTGCACTACAAAGATGGTCCTGCCTGTGGCCGACTCCTGCCCCAGCCCTGCAGGGGGCACCCTTGGGCGTGGCTCTGGGCCCAGAGATGCCCAGAAGCACAAATGCTGCCCACGTGGCTTCCGTAACCCCTGCCTGCTCCAGGAAGCCAGGCCCTACTGCAGAGGGAAAACTGTCCCCACTGGGTGCCGTGGGCCGGGAGCTATAATGACATCACACGTGTGCACGTGACCGGGACCCAGCAGCGAGTGTCCGGCTGCTGCATCCGGCCTTCTAGTTGTGCCCAAAGTTCACTCCTTTCAGTTATTTATTTTTTGGTCAGTGCTGGGGAGGAAACCCAGGGCCTGACACCAGGTGAATGCTCTACCGCTGAGCTGCACTCCAGCCCCTCAACATTCACTTCTACAGTAGGTGGTTTCTTCCTTAAAACTGCCTTTCCTTGACTTCACCCTAGCCTGTCCTGCGTGTGACATCGAAGGTGTCAGGCCAGCCCCCTGTGGCCGTGCTCCACCGCGTGACCGGGTCTGCCGGAAGGTCGGCTCAGGTTCCCGGGCGCAGTCCGGGACGAGGTACGGAGGACACATGCGCACTTTTGGAACCGGACCCGCACCCCACCGTGGCTGGCAGGGGGTCGGGGCGGGCGGGCGGGGGCGGGCCCTGCCCTCCCCTCCCCTCCCCTCCCCTCCCCTCCCTTGGCCGTCAGGGACCCCGATACCAACTGGGGAGGAGGGGGCAGAGCCACGTGCTGGACCCGCCCAGGAAACTTGAGATCTCCATGCCATGAAGCAGCAAGCGGCCTCCTCCTCCAGATCACGGAGGGCTCTGGGGCCGATGGAGAAGCACGGTCATCCGTTCTGCACTGACCCAGCTGGACAGCTAAAGCAACCAGGTTTGATAAATGTGGATTATTTTAATGCTTCTTAAAGAACTAACAGGACCAGGGATGTGGCTCAGTGGTTCCGCTGCCTGCATGAGGTACTGAGTTCGATCTCTGATACCAAAAAACAGAACTGATGAGACAGCAAGGAATTACCCGGCCAGCAGAGGCATCCAAAGGGAAGCGAAGCACCCAGAGAACACCCCAGCGGCCGTCCAGGGTCCCTGGCGATTCCAGAAAACACTTTGATTTGGGGGCTGCACCAGGTGGGAGGGCGATGTTTGCCTCCAAGCCCAGCAGGGGTTCCCTGATTGGCTCAAGAAACCCCAAACTTGAGCACCCAGGGCCTGGGTGGGCAGGGGAGAAACAGCTTGAGGGGCTCCCGGCCGACCTCCGCCTAACAGACTTCACACCTGTCACAGACACAGAGCCCGCAGGGAGACCTGGAAGCCCGAAGGGAGACCAGCGGCACTGTGAGATAACAGCAGACTAGAAAGGAACCGAGGGAAATTTGTAGAAGTAAAAAAGCTTCGACAACCCAAATGGAAAGCTGCCTGGACTTAGTGAAGGAGAAGAGCCAGAGCTGAAGAAAGAATTAACGAGCCGGCAACCACCCTTACTTAGTGCCGGGCGCTGACCCGCCCCTCCCCGGCAGAGGAGCTCTGTTAAACGGATCTGCCGAGTCCCAGCCTGGCAGAACTCCACCAGGGGCCCTGACCCGCTGCTCACGACAATGCAGGGCGAAGGCAGAAAGGAGGGAAGGGGAAGCTCAGAGAGTGGGCGAGAGGAAGAGCCGTGTGTGCCTGCTGTCGGCCACAGGCTTGTGAGGCTGCAGGCAGCGGTTCCTCTCTGGTCATCAAGTCGATCAACACTGACCTGAAACCAACAAGGCTGGGAGCACTCCAAAGCTCACCGCCACAGGCCCAAGCCACACTGGGGGAGGGACTTGGAGAGGTACAACTCCCGGGCTGGGTGCAGATCCTGGCAGGGCAGGCCTGAGGCTGGGAATATTGGGCTGGGAGGGGACTGGTTTTGGGGGGTTTTTTTTGGTGGCACTGGGTATCAAACTGAGGGCCTCAAACATGCTAAGCAAATGCTGTACCGCCTCACTCCTTGGAAGAAGCATTTTTAAAAGTGGGTACTTGGAACACTCAGGTTTATAAAGGTGGTAACGGAAAATCTATAACAGCAACAGGTGCTCTTGGGAGGACGAGGGGGTGCAGAGAAAGAGCAAGCTAAAGTCACATCCCTGTTAGAAGGCCACAAATATATGCTTTGAATTCGGTAAATCAAAAAATAGTGGAAGCCAGATGTGGCAGCACACACCTGTAATCCCAGCGCTCAGGAGGCTGAGGCAGGAGGATGGCTGTGAATTCAAAGCCAGCCTGGACTACGTAATGAACCTTTGTCTCAAAAAAGAAAAACAAACAAACAAACAAACAAACAGTGGAGCCGGGGATTTAGCTCAGTGGTTCTGTCGCCTGCCTCGCAAGCACAAGGACCCAAGTTCGATCCCTGGTACCAAAAAACAGTGGAGTGAGTGTGGGAGACCGCCCTGTGGATTATGCCTAAAGCAGGCTGTAAAGAGCTGACCCTGCATTTGGCTTATTTATAGAAGTGCATCCAGCTAAGGCCTACCTGCCAAGGTCAGAGTGACTTACCTAAATTCCGTTCCCAGAATTAAAACCTTCTCTACGAATAGACAAGGTTATTTGTTAACCACAACCTGCATATTGTCTATTCTGTTCCTAACACAAGAAATGTCTTGTCTCTTTTACAGGCCTTGCCTGCATCAGCAATGTATCCCTAGCAACCACACGTAGCCCCTTCACATAACCCCTTTGCCCCAACTTCACAATGATCGTGTCACCAATAAACATCAACGGTTCTGGCTGCTCAAGGCCTCTGCTTGCTCAAGCACTGGTCATCCAAGTTCCCCATCCGGACTTTAATTCTGTCTCTAAGTCTTTGTAACACTGAGCAGGAGATCGGGATCCACTGCAGGGGACTCCGATAAGCAAGGGGATGGCTTTCTCTGGGCACACTGCCTGTGGGGTGCACAACAGCGCAGCACACGAGCAGTGGACACCTCAATGGGATACGTGGCTCCCTGCATGACTCCCAGCTCGTGTGAGGTGACCACGTGCAAAGTGGGAATATTCCAAGATGGGAAACAGCCCACGTGCCCGCCTATGCAGCCACACGAGCGAGACTTTAACCCACGCTGCTGTGGCAATGAGATGCAGGGACACAGCTAAGTGACACCAACCAAGGGCCGGGGGGACTTAGCTCAGTGGTTTCGCCGCCTGCTGCGCAAGTGCAAGGACCCAAGTTCGATCCCTGGTACCAAAAAAAAAATAAGTGACACCAGCCAGTCACAAAAGCACAAATTCTGCATGAGTCCACTTACACAAGGTTCCCAACAAGGTCAGGTTCACAGAAACAGAAAGTACAGCAGCGGATGTCAGGGGCGGAGGGAGGGAAGGACAGATGGGAAGCTGTCGTCTAGTGAGTACAGAGCTCTAGTTTCACCAGATGGGAAAAGGTCAGGGGCCAGTTGTGTGGTGCGGGCCTGCAATCCCAGCACTCTAGGAGGCTGAAGCAGGGGGATCATGAGTTCAAGTTCCAACTGGACCACTTGGTGAGAGACTCTGTCTCAAAATAAAAAACAAGAAGAGCCAGGGATATAGCTCCATGCAAATGTCTTGGGTTCAATTCTCAGTATTAAAAAGGAGAAAAGTTCACTGGGTGGATGACGGTGACGGCTGCACAAAGAAAACGTGCTCAGGGCCACTGAACCGCACACTTGTGAGGATATAAGAGGACAAGCTTGAAGTTATGTTGCAGATATTTTACCATGATTAAAAATAAGTAATTTTTTGTCAGGCATGGTGGCACACACCTATAATCCCAGCAATCTGGAGGCTGAGGCAGGAGGACTGCCACCAGTTTGAGGACAGCCTGGGCTACAGAGTGAGGCCCTGTCTCAAAATAACATGCTTAAAATTTTGGAATGTGTAAGAATGCTATTTTCACAGTTGCCCAAGATACAGAACTAAAATGAACTCTTCTAATGACAAAGAGTTTGAACTTCTATATATGAATATATAAAGATCTCCTAGCAGGGGGCCATGGCTCAGTGGTGAGCACCTACCCAGCATGCTCCGGGCCCTGAGTTCCACCCCCAGCCCACAAACCTCCCCAGTAAAATGGGTTGGTAATGAGATGACGAAAGGAAACAGCATGAGTAAGGGGCTGTCTATACCAAGGCTGGTACAAAGCCAACCAAGGAAAACCAGCCAGGGCCCAGGAAGGTACAAGGCCCAGGAAGCAATGGCCACAAAGCCCCACGTGCGAGTGTGCCCGCTACTGGAGGGGGAAGGAACTCAGTCCTGCCACACTCCTCCCCACTGGGTGCTGTCACAAGTCCACTGAACTGACTGCCACACCCCTTCCAGAGTCTGTAGAAGTTGCTCAGGATTTCACAACAGATCGGTGCCTCTACTGGTACTCTGCAGGGGGCAGGTGATGCCTATCTGGTTGGCCTGTTGTTTCGTTTTGTTGTTTGAGACAGGTCTCTCTATGTAATCCAGGCTAGCCTCGAATTTAGGGTGATCCTCCTGCCTCTGCCTCCCAAGTGCTGGGATTCCAGAGGCATGCGCTGCACGCCCAGCTGCTTGGCCTTTTGGAGACACCAATCTATGTGCTGCTCCTGCCAAGCACAGGAGTTATACCACAAGACTGTCAGATAGCTCGCTGCACACGCAGAGCACATGTGTAAGAATGTCCTTGTAGAAGCCAGGTGTGGTGGGGCACATTTATAATCCCAGCTACCTGGGAGACTAAGGCAGGAAGATGGCAAACTGGAGGCCAGCCTGGGCAACCAGGGAGAACCTGTCTCAGAATAAAAATACAAAGGGCTGGGATGTGGCTCAGTGGCAGAGCACTTGCCTAGCTTGTGCAACACCCTGGGTTCAATCCCCAGGACTGAAAAATAAAAACTAAAAAGCTGCATGATGTAATAGCTGATCTTGTCAGTTTGATTGTCTGGAGAGCCCTAGGTCAGGAGAGCACATTCTGGGGGTGTCCGGGTGGCCAGGGCTTTCCACAATCCTCTGCTCCTGGCTGCCATGAGCAGCTTTCCTCCCACCATGGTATTTCTTGGAGCCAATCTACCATGGACCAAAACCTCCCAAACCAAGGGCCAACATGAACTTTCGCTCCTTTACGTTGTACGTGGTAGGCAGACTTCTTGCTCTGCTTTGCCTGCCTTCCGTGACGTGACAGCCTTCCTCTGCTGTACCCTCTGCCACACCATTTCTGCCTCGGAACCAGCCAACCATGGGCTCATAAACCCCTCCTCCTTCAAAGAAAAGTTGTATATGGTAGATATTTTATCCCAGTAATAGAAAACTAATACGCACTGTGATGATTGGAAACATTTCATGGTCAAAAAAAAAATTTTTTTCCTGTTATCAGAAGTTCTAAAGTTAGATTTTTTTTCCCCTTGGGTGTCAAAAGATAGCTAATCATATGATCACAAGTGAAAAGGAGCAGAGAAATCATGTATTACAAGTTTTTACATTTTCATTCACTGTGCGGAATGTTCTGTTGTGTTTTGTTTTGTTTAGACAGGGTCTGACTGACTTGGCCAGACTGACCTGAAATTTGCAGTCCTCCTGCCTCAGCCTCCCAAGTAGCTGGGATTACAGGCCAGCACCAAGTGGCCGTGAATGGACTTTTAATACAAATTCAGAGATGTGCTAGCATTTAATGTAAATCAAAATGTTTCACTGAGCAAATTTCACCAGTTCAACTTTATACCCATCATAACTAAACCCACTCCATTTTTCTGGACAATGCCAGCATGTGGATTTTTTTTTTAAGAACAAGGAGATTTCTTTCTGATCGAAACTAGAGGGTGTTTACAGCTTTTCTATCCTACAGGAGATTCCATGCAGTCACAATCCTTTTCCAACTGGCTCGCCCTACATGCAGACACACGTTTTTACTGTTGTCTGTCTACTGTGCTGTTCCAGTAAGTTTGCTAATAAAATAAACTTCAATCCCTAGCACTGCAAAAAAATTAAATAATTTAAAATAAAAAACCACAATGAGATGCTGTTTTGCACCTAACAGGCTGGAACAAATTTAAGTGGAACAAATCCAGTCATGGCTAGTATCCCCGTGGAGCGAGGGGTGCTGCGCCTTCCTGGGGGTTGGGGTGATTTTCCCAGGCTGCACAAGGCCCAGAGTGGTGCGGGAGGAGGGACCACGGGGGGCTCGTGCAGCCAGGAGTGAGCTGCATCCATCAGCAACAGCAGCCTGGTCACCCAACAGGGTATGGGAAGCAATTAAACCGATGAGCTAGAGTCACTTGCATCACCCTGGATACATCGCAGAAACACGGCAGGATGAAGAATGTGCAGAAAGATGTGTATAGAAGGCCACCTTGGACGTAGAGTTCAGAAAGTGGGAAATGCCTCGTACTGGCCATGGCTCTGTCCCTATGAGCAGATGACAGACAACGCATGGGAACTGGCCCCTGGGTGAATCTTGTTCACCAATTTCTGAACATTTTCACCTGGTGGGAGGGGGAGATGCAGAGGCTCCTGCTACAGCTGTTATTTCTTTAAAAGTAAAACATCTAAATAAATAAATAAATAATAAATAGATAAAACATCTGAACTAAATGTGGCAAAAGGATTCGACAGGGCTCAACAGTGGGCCACGGAGCACGCAGTACTCATCTCTTTACTCGTGTGTAGAGTGGAAATATGTCTTAATAATAATAAAAACAAAAAGAACCTGGGCTTGAAGGAGGCTGGGCAAACGGAGGGAGGCCACCACCTCTCCCCGCGGCTCCGGCCCCTCAGTCTGAGTGGGGAGGGACCGCGACACTCCTGTCCCAGGTCCCTGTGGCTGGCTGTGGGCTGGAGGTCAGGGCTGCCAAGTCCTGCGCACCGGGCCTCCCCTTGCCCGGCCGGAGCAGGAAGAGACAGAAAGCCAGCACACCCTACACAAAGCGGAGCTCAGGCTGGCACGGGGAGCCCCACACCCGGGGCCCCGCAGCCTGGGCCTCTGGGCCGTGCCAACTCTGGGAGGAACTCCCTCCTGGATGCGCCGGGGCTTGGGAGGCCTCGGGAGGAGGAGGGCCTGAGCCACAGCTGCTAGCGGCCTGGGGACCTCAGGGTCAGCAGCGCGGGGGAGCGGCAGGGCGCTGGGCTCACTCCCCAATGGTGGGGACAGAACTGCCAGGGCTATCAGGACAGGGCCATCTCTGATGACCACCAGCCAGCTTCTAAAATGCCTGTCAACGTCACCACCCACGCTGGGTCTTCCCCAGCCGGGCCAGGTGTCAACAGGAAAGAGGTGGGAGCAGGGAATCTGGGAGTCCCGCAGGGCTTGGTCCCAAGCGGAGGAGGTTGGAGGCCCTGTCCCTGTCCCAAGTTCTGAGGCTCCAGCTTGTCGCCAGCTGCAAGACCGGGAGCCTCACCAACACCCCAAAGGCCAGGCCTGGGCAGAAAGGATGAGGGGGTGGAGTCTGAACCCTCACTTTGCCAGCTGTGCCCCTGGACCCTGTGGGGACCCCAGGGTGGGCCCTGCACACTGGCCTTGGGAAAATGGAGAAAAAGCCAGGGGGCATGGGAAGGAGATGGGGGAGGCAGGCAGGAGTCAAAGGAGCATTTGTTCTGCTAAGAGGCTTTTTTGTTTTCAAAAATCGGCCCCTAACTGTCCCCTGGAAGCCTAGGGCAAATTGGCCACACCCACCTCCCTGCCACCAGCCTGTGCCACAGGGCTGGGCACAACTTCCTGCCAGCCCCAGGCCCGGCCCTGCCCTGGCAGAGGCCCCCGGGGACCCTCAACCCCACCCCAAGTTCTTCAGAAAGAACTAAGCTGCAGACCCTGCAGACAAAACCCTCAGCAAGAGACCAGAGCCCCTGCCCTGCTACGGCTGCGTCCCAGTGGTATAAACAATAAATAATCCAAACACAAGGTGCAGTGCCAGGGACACAGCAGCAGGTGGGGAAGAGGGAAGGGGTCGGGTGCGATTTCACACAGGTGCCCAGGAGGCCCCGCTGAAGCCAGGAGACTGAGGCCACCCAGAGGGCAGCGTGTGGATGTGTGGGGCAGGGACACTGAAGCAGAGGGGGCAGGAGGGGGGCGAGGCTGGTAACCATGGGGAACAGCAGGCAGGTGGCCTGGCCGTAGGGAGGTGGGAGAGCCAGATGTGGGCCAGATGTGGTGGTCGGAGAGAGACTAAGGATGCGGAAGGCCCAGGACCACATCCAGCACGGCCTATCTGACCCTTGCTGCCCCTCCAGGCCACGCCAGCACTCAGAGCCTCGAGGGTGGCAGATGCAGGTCCTGAGCTGGGCAGGCGGCCCTGTCTGCCTGTGAGGCCCAGCAGACTGCAGCCAGGGTGTGGGCTTCGCTCCAGCCCCACCTGGACCTTCAGCACAGTCCCCGAGGAGCCGTGTGCAGGCCGCCTGTCCCTGCCTGCTGCACCCTGCCTGCCACACGCATTACCGTGATGTCTGCCCTCCCAGCCACGCCGGGGACCACACCTAACACCTGGGCCTCGGAACCGTGCACAGGTGTGGAGGGGACACAGGAGACACGGAGCCCCCACGGACAGAGGGACCCTGTGGCTGGTGGGAAGCTGGGGGAGAAGCATCCTGGCCAGGAGCAGGTGCGGCCGCCAGGAAGGACAGGGAGCCCGGCCAAGGTGGCGCAGCCCAGCGGGGGCTGCCTGGGGCGCAGAGCCCCGTCTCTCTGGACGCTGGTTCAGACCAGGCCCAGGCCCCCAGCCTGGCAAGGGCGCTGGCCGATGGGGGGGTCTCACCTCGGAACTTCTTCGGAGGGTTGTCCAGGTCCCCAGCTGCAGGCTCCACCACACAGCGGTCATCCACCAGCCTGGGGACAAGGCAGCGCAGTCAGCGAGAGAGAAGGCCCAGCCCCCAGGTGCTCCTCCCTCGGGCGGCCGCCCCAGGACACAGGGAGAGCCCTTGGGACCCCCTCCATCGCTGACACCCCACCCCCGCCAAGTCATCCTCCTTCCTGGCACCCAGCAAGGTCTCTGCCAGGCACAGTGGGGCACACCTGTAATCCCAGCACTCGGAGCCCGAGGCAGAGCCCAGCTGGGCAAGTTAGCTACTTAGTGAGACTCTGTTTCTAAATAAAAGAGGAGGGGCCCTGAGGACATAGCTCAGTGGGAAGGTTCAATCCCCAGTACCACCAAAAAAGAAAAAGGCCAGGTCTCTGGGGATGGGAAGAGCACAAAGACGCCAGCGGGTGACAGCGCTGCCTCGGCTGTCCAGTGGGGGTCTGTCCCCACCCTGCCTGGGCGGTCACCACTGCAGATGCAAGTCCTGAGACCCTGCTGCCCGACAGAAAGGACACAGAGAGGAAAAGGGGCCGAGAGACAAAGGCAAAGAGAGACAGGGAGGGAGCAGGGAGAGAGAGAGCTAGGGAGACGGATAGAGAGGAGCAGAAAAATAGAGGGTCAGGAAAATTTTAAAAAATAAACAAACAGAAGCAGTGAGAGACTGGAGACAGGAGGGGAGAGGCGCTCACAGGAGGTCAAACTGGAGGCTGGGTCTGTGGCTCTCACCAGGACAGCAGACCCCGCCTCCCCGGGCTCAGGCCCCGGCCCCTCTCCTCTGGCCCATCACAGCCCAGGCTGAGGTTCGTCCTGCATCTCTGGAGGGCATCCCCCATCCTCCCTCCACCCCTCATCCCTCCATCCACCTGCTCCCTCACCCATCTACCCATTCAGCCACCGGCTCCTGCATTTAGAATCCCTCAAGGCCCTCCACTGTCAGGACGGAGGACGAGATGACCACCACCATCTCATCTCACGGCCCCACGATGCTACCTAGCGTTTCCTGCCTGCTGCTCTGACCTCAAGCCAACTTCCTGGCAAGGGGCTGGTCAGGCCACTAGCACCAACCTTCGGAGGAGGAATGAGCCTGAAGGTTAAATAACTTCTCTGAAACCAAAGAGCCGCTATCAGAGCCTCCGTTTCCTTGCTCCAGCTGCAAGCAACCTCCCATTGGTCCCAAGTTCCCCGAGTGCAACCCGCCTCACGCCCACCCTGGCCCCGGCCCCAAGCACCTGGTCTAGCACCTCCCGCCTGCCTGCCTGCCTGCCTCAGCTCCCCGGCTGTAGCAGCCTCCACCCCGACCCTGCATCCCTTCCCCGGGTCCCCCAGCTCGGCTCCTGGCCATTTCCTTTCCTTTTTTTGGCTAATTTTTTCTTGTAACTTTTTTATTTTAATGATTACATTCATTGTGGGGAATTGGTATGTGTACACAACACATCTCAATTCTTTGTATTTCCCCTTCCCTTCTACCTCTGTTTTTCTTTAATTTTTTAACATTTTTGCCACATCAGATTTGCTTATTTTTTGAGTCTTTATCAAATGAATGGTCATAAGGACAGATTAACAGCCAGACTAACAGACCAAAAAACATACAAACACATAAAACAATTATACTAACTCAAAGTAGATTTTTAGAACACTGGCCATGCTGGATTATAACAACTTTTTCTGTTTTTTCTCCCTATTGTCTTTCATTTTGCATTTTATGTACTCTGTATATTAGGCTTCTCATACAAGAGAAACCTTATTGTAGTTAAGCTTGTGTGTCTGATTTACTTCACTTAACATTATGGTCTCAAGGTGCATCTGTTTTCTTACAAATACCTCGTTTATCCTTCTTTACGGCAGAGTAGTACTCCATTGTGTGTAAATATTTTCTTTACCCATTCATCTGTGAAAGGACATACAAGCTCCTTCCAAGATTTAGTTGTTATGAAATGTGCTGCTGTAAACATGGGTGTGCACATATCACTGTAATATGATGTCTTTAACCCTTTCAGAAGATACCTAGAAGGGGAATAGCTAGGACAAATGGAATTTCTATCTTTAGTTTTTTGAGGAATCTCCATGCTGACTTCCATAGTAGCTGGACCAGTTTACATTCCCTCCCCACCCTTGCCAGTATTTGTTGACTTCCTGGTAATACCCATTCTTTCTGGAGTGAGGTAGAATCTCAGTGTTGTTTTAATTTGCATTTCTCCAATGCCCCGGTCTCTCTCCCTACACCTACACTTGCTGTGCCTACACCATGAGTTCTGTGCAGCCAGGACCCGTTTTTCCACTCAGAATCTCTGCACAACACAGGCCTGTGATACAATGATATCACAAAAAACAGATATTTGGGTTTCATCTCAGTTCTCAGCCAGAGCTTCTAAAGCCCTCACCACTTCCTAAGTGACAAGAGATAAGAGCATCTTCTATTGTAATATTTGGATTGCTGTCCCAGTTCCTGAAGTAGTTCTAGAGCCATAAAAGTGAAAAGGTATGAAATTTTTTCATATCAAGACCCTTTCAGCCACGCTCGAATTTACAATAATGAAGTGACTTCCAGAAAGCCCCTAAGCTGGGGGCGGGGCTGTTGCCAGGAGACAGGACCAAGAGCCAATGATCGGAGAGGTGGGGAGTATGGCCCCGCCCACCTCCCCCTCTTTGAGCCCCGAGGTTGATTGGTCAGGAGGTTGAGTGGTCACGAAGGGTGAGTGATGTCAACCATCCCTCTTAAGGATGGGGTCTGAGCGCTCCAGAGTTGTGACCTCGGAAGTCACGGAAGTCCCACGCCCCACACCCACAGCTCACCCTAGGCCTCCTTTCCGACTCATCTGAGTTGCACCCTTTTACGGTAAAGCAGTGATTTAATAAGCAAATTGTTTTCCTGACTCCTGTCCAAGTTACCGGATATCCAGAGGGACCCACGGGGATCCAGGATTCAGAGCCCGCAGGGGGTCAGTTTGTGGGTCCCCTGTGCGAGCTGACTCGAACTCCAGACAGACAGGGTCAGGACCGAAAGACCTGCAGGACCCTGGACTCGGAGAATCGCCTGTTTCCATATGCTGCTGTCTAATCCACATCTAAGGCATTCTGTCCACTTTCCAGGCAGGGAAACCAAGGCACGAAAAGATTACTGATCGCAGGGCTGGACAGTGAAGCCACGCTGTGCAGCGCAAGTGCTGTGCTGGACCTCAAAGTGTGGGGCACAGCGAGTGCACGGTGGTGTGTGCTGTTATCCAGCACCCGGGAGGCTGAGGCAGGAGGATCCTAAGTGGGAGCCCAAAGTAGGCTACACAGTGAGTGCACAGCCGGCCTGGACTACATGGTAAGATTCATGGTGAGACTCTGCCTCGAAACAAAACAAATAAAATGTAAAGCCTTCCAGGATAGAGAGCCTGGTCTCCCTTCCTCTCCCACCCCCACTCTCCGCACCCTCCACCTGCACCCGGGACAGCTGTGCCGGGGTCACAGCATCTCAAACTGAGCCCCGTCCCCGCCCCCCGACCCCGGGGTGGGGGCAGATGCGTGGGATCCCCCGCCCCGCCCGCAGGTGCCCCTCCCCCTTTAAATCATGCCCTGCCCTCCCGCCCACCAGGGTCCGCCCCCTCCCGGCTCTACGCCACCAGCCCCTCTGTAGCATTTCACTGACACTTTATTCTCCTTCACTCCCACCCCAGGGCTGAAGTTCCACAAGGACAGGGATGTGCGTTTTGGGTTTGGTTTGGTTTCTTTCTGCAATGCTGGGCATGGCACCCAGAGTCTCATGCGTGCTAGAGAAGCCCTCTGCTGCTGAGCCACATTTTATTTCATTTTTCTGAGACAGGCTCTTCCTGAGTTGCCCAGGCTGGGCTTGAACCTGCGATCCTCCTGCCTCGTCCTCCTGAGGAGGTGGGATAACAGGTGTGTGATGCCATGCCTGGGAGGATGTGCGCTTTATTCCCTGCTGGATCCGCAGCACCCGGAATGCTGCCTGGTACACACCCGCCCGCAGGAAACACACGGAGCAGGCTCCTCCCCTTTACCAGCTGCCCAGGCAACTACAGGAGGGAGAGGCGGGGTCACTTCCAATCGCACTGGGAAAACAAGTCACACCCTCAAAGGAGCAGTGAGGCTGAGAGCACACACCGTGCCAGCTGCTGGTACCACTGCGGGTTTTGTCCCCAAATCTGTCCCCATTGTAGACAGGAGAGGCCAGCATGTGGCCAATCAGACAAGGCGTGAAAGGAGCAGCAACCTGTTCAGGTCCTTGAATAACGCATACAATTTCCCCTTAAGACAGTAGAGTCGGAGGCGGGCCTGGTGGTGCACATCTGTGATCTCAGCACTCTCGAGGCTGAGGCAGGAGGATCGCTCTAAGTTTGAGGCCAGCCTGGGCTACATAGTGGGACCCTGTCTCAAAAAGAAGACCTTAGTGATCTGATCAGCTGCCTTCTCCTAGCACAGACAGAGGGCAGAGGAGGCCTCTGGGGAGGGGAGAAAAACTGGCCAGCACCTTGGACTGGGCCCTGCCGGGTGTTGGGGTGCAGCTGAGAAGGAGCCTGGGGCAGCCCCGCAGGCCCCCTCTTGGCAATGCACAGACCTTTCGGAGGGGGAAGAGGAAATGGTCAGGGGCAGGCCCCATCCTGGCCCTCTGGGAGCGCTGGCGGGGTCACCGTGTGGGGCAGACACGTCAACACGGCGTCCCTGGCTCTAACACGCTGCCCCCCACAGCCTGAGCCCTGCCGCCTGCCCTGCCCAGTCCATGCCCCGTGCACAGCTGGCTGCCTTCCCAGCAGGAGTGCAAACCTGAGCCCCTCGGAGAAGGGGAGGGGACAGAGGAGCCGGGAGCCAAGCCCCGGAGGGGAATTCCACACAGGGTAGCAAGGAAGCCATGCCAAACCCGTGGCAGACAGAGTCCGGAATGCGGGGTGCAGGGCCAGGGCCGCAAAACAGGCCACACAGCAAGCTCCAGGCCTGGGCAGGACAGGGGACCTTCCTGGGTGTCCTGGGGGCCCACCCGCCACCCTGGCCCCCAGACCCTCTCAGGTGGTCAGTCTGCCCCAGC